ACTGCTTACAATACTGTTTGTGAAAGTTCTGTATGTTTGGGTAAGGAAGTAAATGTATGTCTGACAGAAGGCAAGAGGCAAAGATTGAGTCCATAGTGTGATCCCCTAGAGTAATTGTTTCTGGACAAAATAGTCCGTTGAAGAGATTGTAGACAGAAAAAGATGAAGCCTCTTTCCTACCTTTAGTGCTGTGATTATAAAGGAGAAACGGTGTTCCTGGGGATGCAGGAAGCCACAGTCAGGGGGAAGAGACAGTCCCTCTTGACCTTGAGAGCTGACTTAGTGAGCTCTTAAGAGTCAACAGCAGCAAAAGGAGGCTGCCTGCCACAGAGACGTGTCAAGCTGATCGGGGCTTGGGAATGAGTCCCGGGGCTTTTGCCTTTGGACGTGGGAGAGTGCAAAGAAGAAAGAACAAGCTTTAGCTAAAGATGGAAAGAGTTAAAGTCTAAAGAGAAAATGCACTTAATATGTATCCAGGTGTTTATGAAGATTTGTTGGTATTAGGTTATATCTACCTAGACACAAAACAACTGGAGTAAGTACATGTTTTGCTTATTTAAAAAATTCTATTTTTCTAGAAAAGGCAATATTGAAAGGAATGTCTGCTAAGCAGGAATTAATCAGGTTGTTTTGAGGGGGGCGACAGACAGAGGAGGGGCTGTGGGAGACAGCATTCCGGGCAGGAGCAGTAGGTGCAGGGGGCCTGGCAGGCAGAGAGAGCACTCGTGCTCAGGGACCCTCCGGGGAGTTCAGCTTGGCTGGAGCTCGTAGAGAGCAACAGGAGAGGAGTCTGGAGACAGGGCAGTGGCTGGTCATGAAGGGCTTCGTACACAGTGAGATGGGATGGACCAGGAGAAGGCCGGGGTTGTGGGAGAGGAGTGCAGCTTTTGGACATGTGGAAATGTCAGTAGGTGCCTGGATAAATGGTTCTGGAGTTCAGGAGAGAAAGCCAGCTTGGAGATTATTTGGAGATAGTCAGTTTAGAGGTAGTAACTGAGGCCCCAGAAGCAGAGGAGAGTGCCCTGTGCTGACTGAGGGTGAGGGAAGAGGGCCAAGATAGGGCTTTGAGAAATACACTTAAGGCCAACGGGGAAGGAAAACCCAGAAAAGGGAGGGAGGAGAAGTAGCCAGAGGCAGAAACAAACCAGGAGAGCGAGGTGGAAAGGGGCTACGGGAGAGCACCTCAAGATCGCAGGGCGTGGCTCACGGCCGCTAAAGCCCCCAGCCCAGTGGTGACTTGGCGGGGGCGGGGGGGGGGGGGGGGCGGGCAGCTGTTGTGGTTGCGCAGGCTCTGGAGGCCAGGACTGTTCCTCCTCAGGAGGAGAGGGGGAGCTTGTTGTGGGGACCGGTGGGATCTGGGAGCGTGCAGTCAAGAGATTTCTTGAACAATGACCACCATTTTCTCTCTGAGGGTGAGAGACAAGATGGTGGGGTAAGAGACCTGAGGAGAATGGGGGAGTCTGACACACCACCCGTGCAGAAGGCAAGAGACTGATTTCAAAACGATGGACTGAGCACATGTGCCATATTTAAAAAAAAAAAAAAACAACAAAGCAAAAACGGAGGGAAAATATTAAAAAAGAAAACAAACTCATAGGGGACCAGAGATCCGTGGAATCTTTAAGAGAAGGAAACCAGACCAGAAGCCATAGCAGGAGGCAGGGGCTGCAGCAGAACTGCTCACATCTAGGCTGAATGCAGAATTCACTCACTCAGCAAATAGTGACCACGGGCCTACTATGCGCCAGACACTGTTCTAGGTGCTGGTTGCTAGTTTCTGCTGCAAAAGACGAGCACAAACCGAGAACAGGAGGAGGGGCTACTGGAAAAATAGAGAAGGCTTCCCCTGGCTCACTGGAGAGTAGATGCCAGAAATCTCTAGAGGCACCAATCTGAACAGCTTGTGATTCTCCCTCAGCAAACCTAAGTGTAAGAGCAGAACTGGACTGACCTTGATTTGGAGTTCTTCTGAATGGGGACAATGGAAGGCTAACAGGGCCAAGGGGCGTGATGATATTGCAAGACAGCAACTCAGCCAGTTATTTCAGAGCAGATTTGCAAATTACACGTGTGATCTAATTAGACTAACCGGTCAGCAGCCCCCACAGAGGATAGAAGTAACACCTGCCTCCTAGGTGAACCGTGTTTTAAGACGGACCTTGTCAAATGTGCGTAGAGATCTTATTAGGATGCGGGTGCAGACTCAGCGGGGCTGGGTGGGGCCCGAGACTATGCATTTCTAACCAGCTCCCAGGAAGAGATGGTGCTGTGGGTTCGCAGACCACTCTTTGAATAGCAAGGTTTTAAAAGGTTTTGCTTTACTTTTGGGGGATGGCTAACTTGCCCATGGTATAGCTTACTGGTGAGGAGCTGGAGCCAGCTGATGGCGACATTTTCAGGAATTCAGCTAGCCAACTGACACCGTGTTGATGGCTTGAAATTGGCCGTAATGCGAGTTTTTATACTATAGAAATGTCCAAATGCTACCAAGCAGGGCCTTCCTGCTTCCCTCTGGAGAGCTGGTTGGTAAACAATTCCCAGACGTCACTGCAAAGCCTGTATAATAGTGGGGCATGCTCTAGAGTGGAGCATTCTCTGCCATTGCTGAGAATCACTTGTCCCATTGTGCAACTCCAGATGAAGTGCCAGGCTTCTTGGTGTGGCCCAGGGCCTCGGAGGGGCAGCCCAGCACACCCAAAAATGGCCTGGGACAGGCGGTGTGATTTGGATGCGAGTTTCCAGCAAGCCACCCTTTGCCTTAGCAGCCCGTCCCTCTCTTATCTCCCCACCACCCTGCTCCTCTCGGTGGCTCACAGGACCTACAGATAAGGTGACATTACGTGTTTGCCTGTGTCAGGTACTCCGAGGCAGCCGAGAAAGTCAGTCCTGTAGTGCCTTCCATCAGGCACCCTGTGTAGTCCCGCAACCACGACCAATGGCCTCTTTATCGAGGTCTGAATGGAGCATGCAGAGGGGAAATGAGTTAATTTCCATAATATCTGCTTTACTTATTGACCTTTAAAATAGAGGTAGATTTTTAAAAACTGATACATTTAATATGGTCAGAAAACCCCAAATGAATCCCTTTTGGTGACAGTTTGGGGAGGAAAATGAAATCCCTCTGCTCAAGAAGGGCATCTCTTATTTTCTGACCTGTGGGTCATGCAGTTTTAATTTCCTCTCTCATCTCTTCTTCTTCTTTTTTTAATTTCACAAACCTGCTTAAGGCCACAAAGACACTCCGGAATCCCCCAGCTGTCTGGCCGATGAACTGCTGCCAGGTTTGTTCAGGCTACTGTTTGTGCCAGGCTGAAGTTCTCCAGCTCTGGCCCAGCGTACCTTTAAATCTGTTTGCTGGCTGACACTGAGGGGCTCCAAGGGCTGTCTGAGGGGAGCTGCCCCAGAGCTGCGTGAGCCCCAGCAAGGGCGGCTCCTGGGGAGTCTGGTGACACCAGGCCCTGGGGTATGTGGCAGGGGCTGGCAGGGGCCCCAGCGGGGCAGGGGGAAGGTGGTGCTGGGGGGAGTTGCAGAAAGGGAAAAGCTTCCCCCCTTCCTCCAGCTTCCAAGGAAAGTGGGCTCAGAGCCCGCCTCATCTGCAGAACAGTGGCACGGTGGGCTACCATCCACGAGTTGGAGGGCTGGATGACGGGGACAGTGGTGGTGTGCACAAGTCTGCGCATGTATGTGCACGCAGGAAGGGGGCATGGCTGGTCGCCGCTTCCAAGGTCCACATCTCCTCTCTCTCCAGGGAAGGAGGGGGTGTGGACGGGGGCTGGCCCTCAGAGAGGGCTGTCCCCTGTGGCCTGGTGAGGCACTTCTCTATCCCCAGGCCCACTCCTTCTCTCCCCTTCTTGAGTCCATTCTGTCCATTTGCCGGGTACCGCGCAAGCACCGTGGGCGGGCCCAGAGCTAGCGCTGCGCAGGAACACGAGGACTGAATGGGAGGGAAGAAGAGAGGGAAGGGCTTAAGTGCCAACTAGCTAAGGGACGGGGAGGGTCCACACGGAAGTGAGACGGACGTGTGATGACGTCAGGCAGTTCAAGTCCTGCCCCAAATGCTCGCCTCTCTAAATCTTGCTGGTCCTGATTTCCTGCCCCAGGTTGTAAGTTTCTCCTCGCCGGGATCCTCTTTCCGGGTAGGCCGGTGCAGCGGGGGTGGTAACGTTCACAGTAAAGAACCGGTGGCCGGTCTATAGAGGCCTCGGGCAGGCGAGAGTGGGAAGGCCCACGGCCAGGATCTGCTCGGCCCAGCAGGAAGTTCCTGTCGACCTCAGGAAGTGGGGAAGAGGCCTGCTGGGCGGTCCTTCTCGGGCCTAGAAGCTGGGCTAGAGCATGCACAGAGATGGAGAAGGAGGAGGTGCTTCGGGAAAGAGGAGGTAGATCCTGCACTGTGACTGTGTGGAGATGGAAGAATCGTGGTCTTTCCTAACTGCATGCTGTGTGTGCGCGTGGACACATGCGTGTGTGCCGTGCACGTGTACGCTGCTTGCTGGGGCAGGGCTCACCCATCTCCTAAGGACGTCTTCTGACTGCTCTAGGGTTCGAGAAGCTGCCCCGGGCTCCGGCGGGCAAAGGCAGCAGGAGAAAAAGCAGCCTGGGGGCTCAAACCAGCCCTGCCTGCTTCGCGCTTGCTCCCTCCAGGCCGGCGGGCCCCACTGATGCTTGCTAGTCCACACAGCCTCAGGCGTGACAGGAGGTCTGCTGCCTCCACGCTCCGAGCCCTAGGGCTGCCAAGGTTGTCCCTTCCCTTGGAGAAGGTGTCCTTTCGGCAGCCGCATATACGACACGCTTGCGCTTATCACCGCATTTTTACATGTGTTATTCCACGTAGGAGGGGTCACCGGGGCCCGGTGCACTCCTTCACACAGGGCTCTCCCATACCAGAGACGTCCAAACTGAGGGCAGCCAGAGTGCGAACCAAAGAAACACACGGTTAGAACAAACGGACACCCTCTCCCGCCAGAGAAGGCCTACGCCCACACGGGCCCGTCCTGACCGCGTCAGGCTGGAAGTGTGAGGCCACCTTTACCTGTTCCGGATCCCACCACGTCCCGGCTCGGCGACTCGGCCATGGCATCAGCGAGCCGCTCCCGCAGGCCTTCCTCTGTGTGCTCCATGGAGGACATGTGCCGCAGCCCAAAGCCCTCGGGCCAGCTCCCACACACCTCCAGCAGGGTCACGCTCCGGTCAAAGGTACCTGCGGCACACACGGGACATCCGACCTTGAGTCCGTGCTTTGAGAGAGCGGCCCGTTCTTCTGTGTACCCACCCCCAGCTCTCCCCACCCTACCCGCACCCCGCGGGGTCCCCTTCAGCGCTTCTCCAGGCTGGACGCAGGAGACACCACCACGACACCCGGGTGGGAAGGCAGAATGAAGCAGCTCGTGCCACGGGATCAGACAGGGTAGGCTTCCAGAAAAAAGACCTCAGAAGTAGGTCAAGGGCAGAGCACCTCCTTGCCAGGTTCAACCCAAACACCTCTACTTTTCTTTCTTTGAGGCAATAGGGCTTCCCTAACAGTTCATTTAAAAAAGGGGCTACGGGGCTTTTAAAGCTTCAGAAAAGTTTTCCGTACCACTCCATCCTCTGTAGCAAACCTCCTCGTGTTACATCTGAGGCTCAGAGAAGTTACGACCCAAGATCCAGCAGCGGGTTTGTGACAGACCTGGTTCAAGAACTCCTATCACCTGATGCCTCAATCTAGAGCTCGTTCTACTCTGCCGCACGCAGTCCCCTAGCTGCCCAAGGACAGACGGACAACGGGGTCACCATTTGGGGGATGCCAGCAACAGCACTGGGTGATAGAATCTTCAGCAAAAATTGTTCCTTAACCCGAAGCTGCTCTCCAATTCCAAGACGTACATGGCACTCTACTCAGTGCCAAGATGAAATTTTACATGCAAGATCACTTCAAAGTCTAAATTTAAATTATTCTCCTCTATTATACAGCAAGTCTTCTGTGAAAGCTTATTTCGTCTACTCTCTCTTGGAAGGAGATTATCGTCATGCTCTGTTGCTTTAAGCACATACCATTTTCCCAGTGATTAGGTAACTGAATCCACTGCATTTATTGGGCTAGGTTCCTGCCAGCACCAGGAAGATGGGGAAAAAATGCAAATGCCAATGTTTCCTAAAGTTAAAAGTACGCACAACACACACTTTTTTATCAGGCCTTGCTTCTCCTCTTTGATCAGCCGTCAGAAACTATCTTCCCTAGGCGGTCAGGACTGGGCAGCGTCAGCACACACTCTCTGCCAATGACAGGTGGTAATAGAGAGGGTGCGAGCCCCAGCCCCGGCAGGCGGCCCTGCCTCTGATAATGGCCAAAGCATTGAGGTGATAACCGTTAGTAAACACTCCGACAGCCGGTGACTCCATACATCAGCAAAGAGGGCCAGATAATCCTGAGCTCTTCGGACCAGACAAAGGCCCTTGGCCAGCCCGCTGGGATTTATATGTGTGGCAAGGGTCACCACTGGCTCCTGAATGTCATCAGCCAAGTTTGGCTTTGATTTATCTCTTGCCTAATTGTGGGGTAGATTCCTGGTGCTGGGAGGATGGGTAACATCTATAAATGTATCTCCCCAAGAGAGGGAGGCCCACCTTGGGACTGGGTTGCTGGTTGCATCGGCTTGTCAGGTGGGACCCAGGAATGGGGAGCTGCCTGATACCACCTTCTCTCTTCATCAAGTAGGGTCAGGATGGATCTGGGGAGCCAGGCGCTGGTAGTGGGGGTGGGGCGCTCTGAGCGTCAGCCCTCCAAGGGCCTCAACTGTGCAGCCACGCCTTGTGAGTGCCAAGCCCAGAGCCAACCCGAGACCAGCATTAGCAACAACTCAAAGGTGCCCAGGCCCTAAGGACACACAGGGACTAATGACATAAGCTAAGCTTTTGATTCCACTCCCCACTCACTAAGTGATGTTAGGCAAGTCCCTCTATCTCCTTTTTCCATCTCTGAAGTAGAACTAATAACCCTGCCTCGAAGGAATGAAAGATTAAGCCAGGTTCCTGCCCGGAGCCTGTGTTCTCCTTCGGTGCTGCCCCACTCTTAACCGACAAGATCAAGAGCTGTAGCATCATGGTGACTCTGAAGAGTCTGCCTGGGACATGTACGCCTGGTGATTGCCAGATGAGGGAATTAGTAATGAAACATGGACACTCCTCCCCCTTGTACCCTCAGGGCTGCCGTGGCAGCTTTCTTATGGACAGACATGTCTCAGAGTCTGCCTCAAGAGCGGGGACGCCCTTACCTTCTGTCACTTCACAAGAGCAGTGTGCCTGCCCCTAAAAGGTGCTCAGTCAGAGTTAGTACACGCCGCTCTTAGAGGTCAGGGCAGCTAAGCAGATAGTGGGGCCAAGAGGAAGAAGAAAACAACATAAGCCAGCAAGATGTTATGACAAGAAGGGTTCAGGTATGAGGGTGGGCCTGGCCTACGACAGACAGCAAAGGCCAGCGGAGCACGTGGTATTTTAGGGACAAAACAACAGTAGACAGGAGAAAAAGAAATCATGAGCTGGTGGAGAATGGAAATAGAGCTGGACTGAAATGTAGGCTCTCAACACGTATTAACTACGTGGGTCTGGGCAAGTTCTTTACCTTTCTGAGCCTCTGATTCCGCATCCATAAAAATGGAAAACCAATACAACCCTATAGGGTTGTTGTGATAATTGCATTAGATAAATACACAATCAATCCCCTGGCACATAATGGGTGTGCTCTTGTATATGTTAATAATAGCAAATACGTACAACTTTATACCATTGGAAGCATGATCATAAATGTTGACGATCACAACAATCCTGAGAGGTAGAGTAGGTACTACCTCCAATTATTATGGGAGAGGAGCTGGAAGCTCAGAGAGAGTAAACGGCATGCTCGAAGTCTCTAAGTGACAGGCCCCTAATTCTTAGCTTGGAGTTCGTTCTATCTGTTTACACTTTGCTTCTCCTGGCTGCATCTGCCGTGGAGAATTGTTATTTTTTTTTTAAATTTAAATTTAATTCATTAACATACTGTGTATTATGAGTTTCAGAGGTAGAGGTCAGTGATTCATCAGTCTTATATGATACCCAGTGCTCATTACATCACGTGCCCTCCTTAATGCCCATCACCCAGTTACCCCATCCCCCCACCTCCCTCCCCTCCAGCAACCCTCAGTTTGTTTCCTAGAGTTACGTGTCTCTTACGGTTTGTCTCCTTCTCTGATTTCATCCTACTTTATTTTTCCATCCCTTCCAGTGGAGAACTGTTATAGGGAGAAATCACCTTTATCTTTTCTAACTTATTCTGCGGACTCTTGTCACCTTCAACCGATACCTTTAAAAAGTCTTTCCCACTCCCCACCAGCCCAGCTTCCTTGGAGTATCACCGTAATGCTGATGAGTCTCCTGTCTGTTGGATGGCACACGGGAGGGAAAAAACACTGATGGAAGATCTAATCTGTTCTCTCTTCACATGGGCATTGCTAGGAGGGTGCAGGTAGGAGGCTGGGGATACAAACAGTGTCCGGCAGGGGAGCACTGGATCGTCTCTACTGTCCTGAGAAGTCACAGAGAGGACCTATTGTGCTGGAAGGATCCCCCCAGAGGCTCTGCAGTGCCCCCTTCCTTGTCCTTGCCTTCCACCCCTGCCAGTGCAGATGAGGACAGCAAAGGAGCTCATGGACTGTCCCGGGCCCGGAGTGAGAGAGCTGCAGGTGTGTGCATGTCAGCAAGGGCTGGGGTTAAGAGGCCAAGCCCTTGGACAGTGAGGTCACCTCTGTGCTCTTAGGCGACTGTACATTGTGCCAGTGTTGTCTGCACGGCTATCATTCATCGGGTCGGCCCCGAGACACTCCACCAGATGAGCTGGCCCTCTGAGTCCCATTACGGGAGAAAGGGTCAGTTTCAAGGGGAGAAGACACTTAGCGCAGGCTGTTTGCAAAGCACAAAATATACGTACTTAGCAACAAAGATCTTTTGCTGAAGCAATGCTCTGCGGGTTGCAAAGCCCCCTCATATTATTTCAATTAACTCACACGTTCCTCAAATATTGATTAGCATCCACTATGATATGAGTCAAGCATGGCACTGAGATACAGAGTGAGCCAAAAAAAAAAAAAGTTCATGGTCCTTCACAACACTCTGGGAAGCAGCAATGGTCACCATTTTACAGATCTGTATTTTACTGAGGCTGAGGGAGAGAGGTGAGGTAACTTAAGGGCATGGGTTTAGGTGTGACAGTCTTGCTCTGAGGCTTCTTGGGAGCCCCTTCCTTTAGGCTGCCTCCCACCTTATTCTCTGCACAGCATTTTCTAAGATTTGGTTCAAGTCTCACCTGCTCGGTGAAACCCTGAGTGACCACGCAGGTTATAATGAGAGCTGTTCCAGAAAGTCTGTTTGCACGGCAGGTTCTTTACCTTTCAGGTGAAGCTGATTAAAGTTCTGAACTTGCCCGAAAAATGTATGTTTGCATACATAAAATTATGTAAGCAATTTCATAGAACGTTGTAAAGCAATTATGGTTCTGTATGGTTCTCTGAAGTCCGTCTTCAGATCCCAGGTTAATGAGATCAGTTCCATGGGGTCATTCCCATCCTGCCTTGTGTTATTCTCATGATCTGCTCTCCAACCTAGTGTAGAAGCTCCTCGAGGGCATGGATTCCTCCATAATCCATCAGTCTGTAATAAGTACAGGACTTTGTGCATCATGCTTACTCAAAATATGTTTGCTTATTAACTGATTAGGACCATCTAAGAAATCAGACAGTCGCTTTGGAGTCAATACCCTTTGGGTAGGATCCCGGCGCCTAAACATCTAGGGCCAGGATTGGGAGGAATGAGCTGGATGTAGGCAGAAAAGGGAGCTAAAATTAAATAAGAGGAAGGAAGGAGGTTATAAGTGAGCAGAAAACAATGTCACGGTATCACTCTGCTGCCTTCTGTGCATTTATTTTAGATTGGAGACCCCGGGAACTGGAAGAACCGAACCACCTGCCTTGGATGGCACAGAGAGCCAGGCTCATACAGGTGAGCTTCCCGAATCCTGCTTTCCAGCTTGGCATCCTGTGTTACACTCTTTCCCCAGAGGAGAAATGGGTCAGGTTCTTGGGTTTCACAAACCCATTAAAGACATGCTGTGACAGCTGGTAAGCCTGCAGCTCCTGGGGAGCCTAGGGGAACACGTGCTCTGTCTTTTGTATACCATTGTTGAGGGGC